TCCATGAGCCTTTTGACCTTGGAGACGAATTACTTGATGCCGCCTCTCCCTTGCATGGTGCTCACATTGGCGAAACTTCGCCCCATGCAAGTTCGACCTCGGATGGTGGAAAATCTTTGTCTGCTTCTTCCTCACAAGAATCTCAGGTGCTCCCTCTTTCTGTGGACGCTGAACCAACTCATCATGCCTCCCCTCCTTTGCACCGCAATAACCGTGATCGTCATCCACCATCCAAGTTAGTTATTTATGATGTTGAGTTGCCCGGTTCTTCTGCTCAAGTTGTCTCTTATCCTATCTCTAATCACGTCTGCTACCATCGTTTTTCTTACATGATGTCAGAGCTATAATCGATCCTCTCAACGATTACTGTAATCATGGGTTCTAGCTCTGGAGAAGATATTGCGGCCGATTCCCAGGCAGCCGTCACTGGCCCTGCCTCGATCCCGCTCACCTCTCCTCTCTTCTTACACCCGTGGGAAAACCCAGGGCAGTTGTTCGGATCTGATCTCTTGACTTATCAGAATAACGGAGAATGAGTTAATGATATGTAGGAGACTCTCTTCGCCAAAAATAAGTTGGCCTTTGTTAACGGCACTTTACCGCGTTCTTCTGCCGATAGCGGTATGCGCCTCGATGCATGGGGATCGGTGTGACGCTATGGTTAAAGGGTGGCTTAAGACCGCCATGCATAAAGAAGTCCGGAATAGCGTACGTGGGGCCAAAACAGCCCGCGAGATATGGTCGGATCTTCGGCAAAGGTTTGAAACAAGCTCTGCCGCCCGGGCATATGAACTTCGGGGGCTTATTGGTTCACTTCGTCAGGAGAAACTCTCTGTAAGTGCTTTCTATACCAAACTTCGTACCTATTGGGATGAACTGCATGCTATTAGCACCAATCCCATGTGCAGCTGCAATGGATGTTCTTGTGATATAGCAAAACAGACCCGTGAGAAACTTGAGACAAAGCAACTCTTCGACTTTTTACTTGGCCTCCATGATATGTTTTCGGTGGTCCGTACTCAAATTCTAAGTCTCAAACCCATTCCCTCACTGGCCGAGGCTTATCAAATGGTGGCTGCCGAGGAACAACAGTGCCAGCTTACTACCGCGCGCCGTCCCACCATTGAATCGGCTGAGTTTCAAACTCGTGGGGACAAGGAGGCTTTGCTAAATACCCTTCTACGTGCTTCTTAGGGTAAAGCCATTAACAAATTACACAATAGTACCCGAAATATCAATCGGTTACTATATACACGCCAACAAAAATTATCTAACTTCTACGACTCTGATATGAAATGTAACTTTGACCAATTACATAACAGTACTCGTCGTATAATACAATACTACTCGTATTACATATACTCTAATAAATCGTTATATAATTGTTAGCTAACTGTTGATAAAATTGTTAATCCGCTATAACATAAAAGACAATATATAATACATAATTTGGGACTGAATTATTCACTAACTAGAAACCAATTTAAAAAATATATCATTATCATCAAACTTTTGAATAAATCATTCAAACGGTCTCATAAAAAATCACTCTTTTCATTAAAATCAACTTATTAATTAATGTGACAATCCGTAATAGACCGCATAAAGCAGACAAGGAGTTTGTGAATTGAAGAAAATGAAGGATAAATAAAATGAATTCAAAATGAATTAGTAATTCAGATTGGATGATTTTAGTCTGCCTTAAAAGTTTCCTTTCCCTTAATTTTTTCTGGTTAAAATAATAAATATGTGAACCAGTGAAACCGCAGTAATTCATCTTGTTTCATGCCCAATTGTTAAGAACAATTCGATTCATCTCTAATCATCCAAACAAATGTACTCTATCACTATTCTAACGGCTTTACTAACTCTACAGGTCCATACGCTGATATACTACAATTTTACGATCAAATTTTGAATATGTTAGTCAACATGTTGTAACGAATTTGCAGCTCGGAATGGGAAGTGCATTGGAAACCCTCTGCGGCCAAGCTTTCGGGACAGGACAAGTCTACATGCTATATTACGTATACGTACGTGTGTGTTTGAGTTCTATCCTCACACGTATCTCATCGGTTCCTTGCAGCCCAAGTCACAGGAGTTACTTTCATGTTCAAAGTGTAACTCTTCTCCCTTTTCTACGTGACTTAGGTTTCTGTAGCTCTCATGCTACTCTTTTCTTATAAATGGCTTACTGCTGAACGTTGTAAAGTAAGTCATTAAATCATCAAATCAATGAAAGAAAGGACTAAGAGCCCTAAGCTCTTCGTGGACTAGTCCTACTCACACCGAGTAGGGAAACCACGTAAATCGTGTGTCGTTACTTCCGCATTTAATTATTTTACATGGTATCAGAGCGAACCTCGATCCATTAAGGTTTTGCAATCTCTTCGTCTTCAATCCATCGTTTCCAGTCAAGATTGCGGCTGTCATCCGCTTCTCTCGTTCGTCTTCAGCACCATCTGATTCTCTCGTTCGTCTTCAGCACCATCTGATTCTCTCGTTCGTCTTCAGCATCATCCTTCGCCTCCAGCATCAGCCGTCTTTTCCTTGATCCCGAACCGCCTCCATGGCCAAGGACGAGGAACCAACTGGTTCTGGGGACACCGATGATATGCCTCCTCTCACCAACGACGATGTCATTGGTCCGACATCACCACTTTATCTCCATCCCTCTGATGCTCCCAACCAGGCATTTGTTGGGGATCCGCTCACGGATGTCAATTATGGAGAATGGTCTGCTGAAATTTCAAATGCGCTCATTGCAAAGAACAAGCTCGGGTTTGTTCTTGGGACTGTTCCCCGCCCCAAGTCAGGTGACAAACTTGACGCTTGGACCCGCTGCAACGCCATGGTGGTCGGATGGTTGCGTAGCACCATGACACGAGAGCTCCGCAGCAGCCTGAGCACCGGATTCACGTCCAAGCAGATATGGGACGAGCTCAAGGAGCGCTTCAGCACTGGTAATCTCCCTCGCAGGTATAAGATCCGCCGCGAAATCACAAGTCTGCGTCAAGATCGTTCCACTGTGTCTAGTTTCTATGCCAAGTTAAAACGTCTCTGGGACGATTGGCTTACACTGGACCCACCAGCGGCATGTACCTGTGGAAAATGTGAGTGTGGTGTTGAGCAACGTACACGTAGCTCACATGAAAGCATGCGCCTCCTGGACTTCCTCGTCGGTCTTGACGATGGTTTCTCGGCAGTTCGCACTCACCTTCTATCTCTCAAGCCCATACCCACGCTTGGCGAGGCTTATCATGCCGTCGCTAACGACGAACAGCAGCGTAGCATCTCCAACGAACTCCATCCACGAACTGAAGCAGCCGCCTTTCAAGGCAAGGGGGAGAAATCACGATCAGAGGAAAGGACTCCTGAAGGGCGTCCCTTTTGTACGCACTGTGAAAAGCCAGGTCATTTCAAGTCAACTTGCTACGAGCTTGTCGGCTATCCAGTCCGCACCAATGAGAAGGGAGACAAGCCCCGTAGAAGGAATCAGGGGAGGCAGCAGCCTCGCAACGAACCTCAAGCAGCAGCGGTTGATGGCTTCCTTGATTCGCCAATTCCGGGACTTTCTGCAGCTCAAGTAGCCCAGCTCAAGGCGTTCCTCTCCTCTGGATCCCCTTCTTCGACTGATCCTAAGAGCAATCTCGCAGGTAACCCTCTTCGTTTTCAAACTGATTGGGTCATTGATTCCGGTTGTACCGAACATATCGCTAAACATACCTCTTTGTTTGATGGTGAGATCGAGCCTCACCCCTCATTACAGGTCACGATCCCTAATGGAAAGGGAATCCCGGTTCGTGGGATCGGGTCTTCTAGATTATCGAATGGATTGGTTCTACGTCGTGTTTTATATGTCCCTGATTTTCAGTGCAATCTGCTCTCGGTCAGTCGTCTCACAGCGGATCATTCTGTTGCTGTAATCTTCATCAGTAATTTCTGTGTCATTCAGGACGTGCACTCGAAGAAGATGATTGGGATGGGGAAGTACGTTGACGGGCTATACTACTTACGTGTGCTTGACGGTGATCATCCAGTAGCTTTCAGTACGCGTAAGGCAACTCGAGAGTCGGCGGTATGGCATTCACGGCTCGGTCATCCATCTCCGGCGAAGCTCATGTTGTTGCAGCCACACATTTCCAGTATTTTAATTTCCAATAAGGACCCGTGCCCCTCCTGTTTACGGGCCAAGCAAACTCGGCTTCCTTTTTCGGCTAGTTCCATTAATACATCATCTTGTTTCGAACTTATTCATGTCGATATCTGGGGTGGATACAAACAGGCTTCTTTTAGTGGAGCACACTATTTTCTTACCATCGTTGATGATTACAGCAGGGCTGTCTGGGTTTATTTGTTGAAATACAAGTCGGAAGTTGCTCGGTATTTGCTCCTTTTTCTCAATCAAGTTTGTACTCAATATAATGGACGTGTCAAAAGAATTCAAAGTGACAACGGTCGAGAGTTTAGTGTTGCCGCTTTACAAGATTATTATGAGACGGAAGGGGTTATTCTTCAAACCTCATGCGTCGACACTCCACAACAGAACGGAGTCGTCGAACGCAAGCATCGGCACCTGCTCGATACAGCTCGCGCCCTTCGCTTTCACTCCGGCTTATCGACTCGCTTCTGGGGTGAATGTGTTCTCACCGCAGCCTATTTGATCAACAGGCTGCCCCTCTCCTCCATTGGTAATCGGACTCCTTTTGAGCTCATTCATGGGCGAGCACCCAAGTACGAGCATCTCCGCAGCTTCGGGTGCCTTCTTTACGCCAAGGACACGCACCCCCATCTCTCCAAGTTTGAACCAAGAGGACGAGCTGGCATTTTTGTAGGCTATCCAGCCTCACAACGGGGTTACAAAATTTACGATCTTGAGCGCCATCACATCTACACATCCCGGGACGTATTATTCCTCGAGAATGTCTTTCCTTTTCGCAAGGGGATTGACACTCTCAGCCACATATCTTGCAGCCCAGATTCCGATGATGATGGTACCAATGATCACCCTCTCATTGAAGGGCAGCCCACTGCCATCGATGATGATCCACTCCGCGCCACTCCACAGCCTGTTCCCGTTGTGCCCACGACCTTCTCGACACCAGCGGCCACCTCTCACAATCATGGCAGCTCACCCTCGCCCCTGTCATCAGCTCACGGCAATGAGGCCATGGATAACCCCCAGCCTTCGCCACCTCACTCTCCAGCAGCGCCTACCTCCCCAACAGCGCCTCACTCCTCATCGCTGCCGGAGGCACCCAGCTCCGTTCCAAGCCCATCCTCGCCTGCTCCACTTCGTCGCAGCACGCGTGAGACTCGCCCCTCCGTCCGTCTCGATGGTTACGAGACATATGCTCCTGGTCGTGCCCATGCAACTCACGTACGCCACCCACTGGAGCATTACGTGGGCTACGACCGTCTCTCTGCATCCCACCATGCCTTCCTCGCGGCAGTCGATCTTCACACCGAGCCGCGGCACTTCCATCAAGCAGTGCGACACAAGGAATGGCGGGCAGCCATGCGAGCCGAAATAGAGGCTCTCGTCGCCAATGGTACGTGGTTTCTCACCCATCTGCCTCCTGGAAAACGTACCATCAAGTGCAAATGGGTTTATAAAATCAAGTATAAACCCGACGGATCCATCGATCGCTTCAAGGCTCGCCTCGTGGCAAAAGGGTACACACAGGTCGAAGGGATTGACTATCACGACACCTTCGCCCCTGTAGCTAAACTTGTGACGGTTCGTTGTCTCATCGTTGTTGCCGTCAGCAAGGGTTGGACACTCCACCAGCTCGATGTCAATAACGCATTTCTTCACGGGGATCTCACCGAAGAAGTCTACATGGAACTACCTCAAGGCTTCGCTCAAGACGGTGATACTCGTGTTTGTCGCCTGCGTAAGTCTATCTATGGATTGAAGCAGGCCTCCCGAAATTGGTACCACAAATTTTCGGCTGCTCTACTCAGTCTTGGCTTCGTTCAAAGTCATGCCGATCACTCCCTCTTCCTCCGCAAGACAGCCACGAGTTTTGTTGCTGCCTTGATTTACGTCGACGATGTGATTCTCGCCGGCGATGATCCATCCTTCATTCAACGCGTTAAGAGCTTCCTTCATCAACGCTTCACCATCAAAGATCTTGGCCCTCTTAAGTACTTCCTCGGTATCGAAGTAGCTCGCTCCAAGCACGGTATTGTTCTAAATCAAAGGAAATACGTGCTAGACATCTTGAGCGATTGTGGAATTGAAGGGGGGTCGTCCCATTGCCACAACCATTGAGCAAAATCATCATTTGGGCCGACTGCCTTCTCCACCGGCCGTTGATCCTTCTAGTTACCGTCGTCTCGTTGGCCGCCTGATGTATCTTGCAGTCAGCCGGCCGGACATTCAGTATGCTGTCAATCTATTGAGCCAGGGTGTTCACAGTCCAACCCAGGCGCATGTGGATGCTGCCACAAGGGTACTCCGCTACCTCAAGCAATCTCCCGGGAATGGCCTCTTTTTCCCTACCCAGTCCGACCTCACTCTCACTGCCTATTGCGATGCAGATTGGGGAGGGTGTCCCACCACTCGTCGCTCCACTACTGGGTACTTCGTTCGTCTGGGTAATGCTCCTATATCATGGCGCACAAAGAAGCAATCTGTCGTTGCTCGGTCCTCTGCTGAGGCTGAGTATCGTGCCATGGCCACCACCGTTAGTGAGTTGATCTGGCTTCGCTGGTTACTTACCCAACTTGGTTGCCCTCAACACGATGCCACTCCTTTATACTGTGACAGTCAGGCTGCTCTTCACATCGCAGCAAACCCGGTCTTCCATGAACGCACCAAACATGTTGAAATGGATTGCCATTTTGTTCGTGAGCGAGTTCAAGCCTCTCATATTGCTCCTCGTAAGATCTCCACTGCCGACCAGCCCGCCGATCTCCTCACCAAAGGTCTCGGTCTTGAGCAGTTTCGTCACCTCCTTTCCAAGCTCGGCATGCTCGACATCCACGCCTTCGCTTGAGGGGGAGTATTACGTATACGTACGTGTGTGTTTGAGTTCTATCCTCACACGTATCTCATCGGTTCCTTGCAGCCCAAGTCACAGGAGTTACTTTCATGTTCAAAGTGTAACTCTTCTCCCTTTTCTACGTGACTTAGGTTTCTGTAGCTCTCATGCTACTCTTTTCTTATAAATGGCTTACTGCTGAACGTTGTAAAGTAAGTCATCAAATCATCAAATCAATGAAAGAAAGGACTAAGAGCCCTAAGCTCTTCGTGGACTAGTCCTACTCACACCGAGTAGGGAAACCACGTAAATCGTGTGTCGTTACTTCCGCATTTAATTATTTTACATGCTAGGCATCTACATGCAAAGATCATGGATCATCCTCTTAGTCTACTGTCTCTTTCTTCTACTTCTCTACATCTTCGCCACTCCAATTCTCAAAGCTCCTGGATCAAGAAGAACATATAGCCAACCTAGCCGGCCAGTTCACCCTTCTCATAATCCCACAGCTCTTCTCTCTCGGAGTGATATTCCTGACCCAGAAGTTCCTGCAGGCGCAGAGCAAGGTCACTGCTCTGGCCTGGATCTCACTCGCGGCCCTGATCATACAGATCCCTCTTCTCTGGATCCTCGTCTTCTGGTTCGATTGGGGTACAACCGGAGCGGCTCTGGCCTACGACATAACCAGCTGGTGCGTGGCCATAGCCCAAGTGGTTTATGTAATTGGTTGGTGCAAGGAAGGGTGGACCGGGCTGTCGTGGTTGACGTTCGACGACATTTGGGGGTTTGTCAGGCTCTCGTTGGCCACTGCTGTCATACTAGCACTAGAGATTTGGTACTTCATGGGTGTCATTGTGATTACGGGCCATCTCGACAATGTTGTCACTGCCGTTGGCTCCCTTTCCATATGGTGAGCATTTTCTGGTTACCCAATCTGTTTACTTGTTGTTCAAGATTTGTTATTTGTATATTTTGGTGATTTCTGCAGTATGAATTTCAATGGATGGGAAGCTACGGTGTTAATTGGTATAAACATAGCTATAAGGTAAGTTAAAAGGTTCAACCGTGAAAATGTTGTTATGCTCACATTACTACCGCACGGTTGTTTTTTTACCTAGTATTCGTCGATTTCTCCAGCGTTCGAGTATCGAATGAGCTAGGAGCAGGGCATCCCAGAGCAGCAAAATACGCGGTCTACATCGGTCGTGTTTCAATCCTTCCTAATCAGGTTGTTGTGCATGGTAGTCGTCGAATGATTACTTCTCCATCAATTTCACCAACGACAAGGACCTGCAAGTAGCTGTGTCTAAGCTAGCGTTCCTGGTGGGTATCACCATGGTTCTCAACAGTGTTCAGCCAATCATTTCGGGTAGGGGAGAAACATGTTAGTGTTGTGATATATGATCCACGATTGAATCTCTCCCAACAACTCGAGTTATTGGGACCAACTGGTTCATGACATGGTATCAGAGCCTTCTGTGACCGAGAGGTCTTGTGTTCGATTCCCGGTGACCCCCATTTGTTAAGCACATGGTATTCTTGTTTTCAGACCTGTGTAAACTTCAAGCCCTTGTGAGTGGAATGAAAACCCGCCCTTCTTTTGTTCATCATATCCGACACCCTCGATCGTTCATGTGGATTCATCGATGCTTTGTTTGAACGTTGTGGCAGGGGATATGGGGAGGGATGATTGCAGGTACGGCGTTGCAGACTCTGATACTCTTGTTCATCCTCTACAGAACCAACTGGAACAAAGAGGTAAGAAAGTATAAACTAATTGGTTTCACTTTCCATCTCTCACATTTCGTCATCTCTTGCTGAGTATGAAGGTACAAAATTGGGTGGTGATTTTGAAGGTGGAGCAAACAACATAACAAATGAAGAAATGGGGTGGCCATGAAATCAACGGTGACCGTCAGGAGAAGAAGATCAATGGAGCTTGAAAACAGGGGATAAGAAAATGAAAGCTTTTGAGGACGATAATGTAAAGGATTTCCTTCTGTGGGCAGTTCTTCTAGTTCCCCTGACTTTTTGAGAACTGTTGTATTAGGAGAAAGGAAGTTACTTTTTGCCATGGGAATTCATATTGATAGCTAGTTAGATGGTGACATAAATCATTATCTATCGATGTCTATGTCTTTATTATTACCCAAAAGGACAAAACAAAACATTGTGGGAGGTTTGCAAATTTTAAAAATGTTCCAAATCCCAGCCGCTATTAATAATCCCAAGAAATATTGTGTTTCTTTTTCCCATCCAATGTTCCGAAGACGTATAAAACAATAGATAGAGAACTACAACGATTACTTTAAAAATGGAGAAGAGGAAAGTGGGAAATTTTAAAAATGAAGAAGAGGAAAGTGGGAAAATTTAAAAATAACTTGTGAAAGGAAGGTTGTTATTTTCAGTGGTTAACCGTCAAATTAATCATCAACCGAACCCATAATTTGTAGTGCTTAAGTGAGCGAGCGAACTGGAATATATTTATAACTTATAATATGTATTAGGATGTGTTCGGTACGTATTAGGACGTGTTCATAAAACCCTAACAAAAATATCTATCGGATCTTTCTTGACAAAATTTGTTCGAATTCGAGTCGGTACCTAATCTTAGGGCCTTTCCGGAACTTACCCCCAACTTGACATGGGGCACGCAGAAATTAAATAAATGTGGAGCCATCCTCGCGCCCATCGCCATTTACTACCTGCTACTTCTTGCCTTGGTCCCCAATGACAATTTTGCGTCTCTCTTCGCCATTTATAACCAACAGTAGTTGGCCTCTTGAGCTCTCCAATCCTCATCAGTACTTCAGCCTCTTCTTGCCTTTTCTAGCTGTCCCACCGCTCCCGTCATGGAGGCGCCGCTGCTCGCCGACGTCCTCTCCGCCGCCGGCAAGGATGGCGACTACGCCGCGGTCAGGACTTGGCCGGAGCTGCGGTCGGTGTTCTGGACGGAGACGCAGAAGCTGTGGAAGATTGCCGGGCCGATTGCCTTCAACACGGTGTGCCAGTTCGGGCTCAACTCCGTCACGGTCATGTTCGTCGGGCACATCGGCGACGTCGAGCTCTCCGGCGTGTCCATTTCACTCTCGGTCATCGGCACTTTCGTCTTCGGATTCTTGGTGAGTGAGTGACTGCTGAAAAGTGGAATTTGTTGGATTTTATTCTCCTCCCCTTCTCTTAGTTGACAAAAAAGCGCATATATTTTAGCCCAAAATTTGATTTTTTTTTTCTCTTAACCACAGCTGATCGTTAATCGATTATGTATAATAAGATCATTTCGGGTCCAAATTACTCAAAATTAATTAAATTTAGGTCAAACAAACGAGTCAGATTGCGAAAATTGTCTTTGAATATTATTCTAAATTCATAATCTACATACAAAGGATTCGTACATTAAATATCCATAAAATTCAAATTCATACAGTAATTAGCATGTGATGTGACATGTGAGTTCGTCCAGCAGAGAAGCCCACCCAGAAATTGACAATTCCCCGACCGGGAAATCAAGTGAGGAGTCCGGGTTTGAGTCCAGGAATTTTCTCCGGCCAGTCGATCAAGTATTCTCCGTGATCGTGGTCGGGCATCTATCCTGATCAAGTATTCTCCGTGATCGTGGTCGGGCATCTATCCTGATATTGTTCGAGTTTCTTCCCGTGTGTTGAAGTTGCACGACAATCATTTTCCATCCTATTCTTTTATTTTTGTGTTTTTGAGAAAATCCCAGAAAAACCCTAAAAAGTGAGAATTGAGCTGTGTATTCTTATTCGTGAGCGAGTTCGGATTCCCGGATTCCGCTTACATCAGCATGTCAATGGGTTGATTAAGAATCTCTATAAATTCACAATTTAGTGCCTATTTTTCACATTTTACATTTCAAAACATACATTTCTTTAATTTAGACCATGTTCGAATTCTTTAACTATCACCTAATTAAGAGAATCAAACCTATATCACTCTTATAATTAAAAAAAGCTTTCATAAAAAGCTCGAATTAAAATTATATTTGACTATATAAAAGTTTTTTCTTTAAACATATGTAATTAAATGCAACTGGAATTCGCAAAATCAATCGATCCAATCTGGTAATTCATTACATTAACCCACAAAACATATCGACAAATTCACAAATCCAATACATTTTGACACATCTTATCGAAAAACGACCTAACTAACACGTCGTACGAAAATAACAGTTGGGCATGGGCAGCGCGTTGGAGACGCTGTGCGGTCAAGCTTTCGGAGCCGGACAAGTTCACATGCTAGGCATCTACATGCAAAGATCATGGATCATCCTCTTAGTCTCCTGTCTCTTCCTCCTCCCCATCTTCTTCTTCGCCTCTCCAATCCTCAAGCTACTCGGCCAAGAAGAAGAGATCGCCAACTTAGCCGGAAGATTCACCGTGCAGACAATCCCACAGCTGTTCTCCCTCGCCATAACTTTCCCGACCCAGAAGTTCCTCCAGGCCCAGAGCAAGGTCAGCGCTCTGGCCTGGATCGCCCTCGCGGCCCTGATCGTGCAGGTCCCATTGCTCTGGCTCCTCATCTTTGGGCTGGGCTGGGGCACGACGGGTGCCGCCGTGGCCTACAACGTGACCAGCTGGGGAATCGCCGTAGCCCAAGTCGTTTATGTGGTCCGCTGGTGCGACGAAGGATGGACTGGGCTTTCGTGGGCCGCGTTCAGGGACATGTGGAGCTTCGTCAGGCTCTCCATCGCCTCTGCTGTCATGCTCTGCCTCGAGGTTTGGTACTTTATGAGCATCAACGTTCTTACTGGCCATCTCGACAACGCTGTCATTGCCGTTGGCTCGCTTTCTATATGGTGAGTGATGAGCACCCCATTTGTTCAATTCTTGAACAGAAATGGTGACTTTCTGTAATTGATACTCTGTTCATTTGGCAGTATGAATATCAATGGCTGGGAAGCAATGCTGTTCATTGGTATCAATATAGCTATAAGGTGAAAACTAAACGCGAATGTTTTTATCGGTTGATGATTTGATTGTTTCACCGTCGATTCTTGCTTGCCAATCAAGCCAAAAGGCGGAATGGGGAGGAGGACCCAATTGAGGTTGATTGATGTTGTGTTGTTGTTTTGTTCTTAAATGGTTGTCCAGTGTTCGTGTCTCTAATGAGCTCGGAGCAGGACGGCCTAGAGCAGCGAAATACGCGGTCTACATCGTTGTCTTCCAGTCCTTCCTAATCGGGTTGCTATCCATGGTAGTTGTGCTTGTATCGAAGGACTACTTTGCCATAATTTTCACCAACAGCCAGGAGATGCAAAGAGCTGTGTCTAAGCTAGCATTCCTGCTAGGCATCACCATGGTTCTCAACAGTGTTCAGCCTGTCATCTCAGGTAAGGGTAGCACCAATCTCCTTCAACAATGGCTAGATCGACTACTCCGTTGCAGAAATCTCTTAAAACCGTTGGCAAAAAAAATCAGGTGTGGCTATTGGTGCTGGGTGGCAAGGTCTGGTGGCCTACATCAACATATTCTGCTACTATGTATTTGGGGTGCCTCTAGGGTTTCTGCTGGGTTACAAGCTTAACTTGGGTGTCACGGTACCTACAAAAGTTCTTCCCTTTCATTGGGCATCTTTGCTCCAAAAGGTGGGGGAGTTTTTTTATGCTATGCTTAGTTTGTTTTGGTTGTTTGATAGGGGATTTGGGGAGGAATGATAGCAGGGACGGCATTGCAAACTCTGATTCTCTTATTCATCCTCTACAGAACAAACTGGAACAAAGAGGTAAACAAACTGAGACTAAATTTTTTGCCTTGTAACCTCTCCATTTTCGTCTCTGGCTGAATGTTGCAGTAAGGAAAACTTGGGTGGTTTGCAGGTGGAGCAAACAACAGAGAGAATGAAGAAGTGGGGTGGGCAGGAAACCCGCGGTGGTGATCGTATCACTGGAGCTGTGTGAAGATGATGAGTTCAGGGAAAAAGACACTGAATGTGGAATGATGAACTAGAAAAAGACTGATCACTCCACTGCAGCATGAAAGCCAGATTTTGATTTTTCATCTAGAGTTTCCCTCTTTCTTTTTTTTTTTTTTTTTTTTTTTTGTTGCAGCTTGGAACTGTTACCTTCGATGTTTAGATGCATAGGGGAACAGTCTAGTGAGTAGTCGCCAATTGTTTGTTTTTGTGGAAGGAGTGAGCAGCGAACAGCTAGTCTTAGTCTTAAACCACGTATTTTTCATCGATAGGTGTAATAAGCGCTGCCAAATTATTGGCCACTGATGTCAGGATGGCCGAGTGGTCTAAGGCGCCAGACTCAAGTTCTGGTCTTCGAGAGAGGGCGTGGGTTCAAATCCCACTTCTGACAAATTTTTATTGCTTTTTTCAAAATCACTTTAATGGCATGAGTCGCCTTTTATATTCTGTAGGCTTTGTTCAGGTCAACATATATACTCTCTTACCATGTACTTGGGTGGCTTTGAAGGTTTGCTAAGCTACACTTTTAATTTGAGAATCATAGAGTCATGAACTAGTGTCTTTTGAGAAGCAACAAAATCAGTTCTTCATTTTGTAATGGCTAAATTGCAAGTTTGGTCACTCGAATTGCCACAAAATTTTACGTTTGGTCACTCGAATTCGTTTATTCTATTCGTAGTCACTTAAATTAGTTGAACAGTCCAAGTTCGGTCACTCTCCGTTAACCTCCGTCAAACTCCGTTAGTGCCGTCAGTTAACTGCTGACGTGACTAACAGAGATGCCTAGTCACCCAATTTTAACCCAAGAAAAAACAAAAATTGACCCGCCACGTCAGAAAAACATGCCACCTCATATAAACACAACCCAAACTACCCAACCTAAAAAAACCATAAACCCACCCAGAAATCGAACCCGTGACCCATCCACCATTCTTCTTCTTCCTCTATACCTGCTTCCGCCGCCGCCGGGGGATTTCCCCTCGATCTACCTGCTGCAGCCCCCGTCGCCGGATGAGCAGCAGAAGCGATTCGAGACATCTACGCAATGAACTGGAGCGTCCGCCACGACAAGAAGTACCGGCTCGCCATAGCTAGCCTCATGGAGCAGTACCAGAACCGCGTTGAGATTGTTATGCTCGACGACAGCTTGTAACTAACCTCCTTGTTCTTCTCCGCGTTGAGATTGGTGACTGGTTTCTGCTGTTGTTTGTTGGGGTTAGGCTAATGAGATTGAGGAGTTTGGTCAATTGTATATATAACCCAGAAAAGCAGACGATTCCAATGGCGAGATCCGCTGCGACCAAAACCTTTCCTTCGAGCACCCTTTCCCTCCGACGAAGACCATGTTCATCCCTGACAAGGACTGCCAGAAGCCGGACCTCCTGGCCACCTCCAGCGACTTCCTCCGCGTCTGACGAATCTCCGACGACCGGGTGGAGCTCAAGAGCCTCCTCAACGGCAACAAGAACAGCGAGTATTGCGGCCCTCTCACCTCCTTTGACTGGAACGAGGCCGAGCCCAAGCGAATTGGAACCTCCAGCATCGACACCACCTGCACCATCTGGGACATAGAACACGAAACAATCGATGAAATCGGAGGCCGTGTAGGAAACCTCGAGGAGTCGCGCCAGTGATTTGTGCGGGCGACTGTTGTTCCTCTTGGCGGCGACGGTTGGGGGTTATTGGATCCGACGGCGGGGGCTGCAGCAGGGAGATCGAGGAGAAATCCCCCGGCGGCGGCGTAAGCAGGGTGTAGAGGAAGAAGAAGGGTGGATGGGTGACGGGTTTGATTTCTGGGTGGGTTAATGATTTTTTTAGGTTGGGTGGATTGGGTTGTGTTTATATGAGGTGGCATGTTTTTCTGATGTGGCGGGTCAAATTTTGTTTTTTCTTGGGTTAAAATTGGGTGACTAGGCATCTCTGTTAGCCACGTCAGCAGTTAACTGACGGTACTAACGGAGTCTGACGGAGGTTAACGGAGAGTGACCGAACTTGAACTGTTCAACTAATTTAAGTGACTACGAATGGAATAAACGAATTCGAGTGACCAAACATAAAATTTTGTAGCAATTCGAGTGACCAAACTTGCAGTTTAGCCATTTTGTAATATTATGTTCTTTAATGCTCTGATTTGATTGTTGACTCCTGAGAATTCAGGAAGAAATGATAGCAGCAACAACATTACAAAATCTTGCCGTGCTGCCTCCTTGTAGAGTTGCTCTCCAGTTTGACATCCCTTCTATTCTAGCAAAGCCACTAGAGGTGGCAATTTCAATCCAATCCACCAATCCAATCCATCAATCCATTAAAAATATCCACCTAATCCAATCCATTTAAATCCAATCCATTTGATCCAAATCCAATTGGATTGGTGGATTCATGGATTGGATCCATGGATCATTGGCAAATTACGGTTTAGTACCTATAATTTTTATTTGTTACATTTTGGTACCTAAAATTTTATTTTTCATACGAAAAATATCATTGGAAAATTACGTTTTGGTACCTAAAATTTTTCATTGTGACATTTTAGTACCTAAACTTTTTACATTTTACATATTGGTCCTTAGTTGAGGATGTCATTTGGATTCATGGATAATCCACCAATCCACTTGATCCAATCCATGAATCCACCAATCCATTAAATCCAATCCATTTGATCCATGGATACACCAATCCAATCCACCAATCCAATCCATTTGCCACCTCTAAAAGCCACTAAGCCAGGAGTTCTTGTTCAGATTGACAATCAACTCCAGTTCTCATACTAGGTTTTGCTGTTTTAGCTCAAGCGCTGCTGTACCTTGATTGTTCGGCCAGTTACTGGGTTGGACGTAATGGATGCTACTACTGGCTGCTTGTTAAACTGTTTTCACTTTCCTTCAATCATATTTTCGCATAAGAGGAGAATTGCATAGGCACAAATGCTTATATAGTTGGCACAAAATATATAACTTAGGCAGTCCAGCTTTTCATCCCACAAAATTCTGACTCGCACCAAAGGAGTAGTAGTTATAAAAAAAAATACAAGGCCCCAATAACAAGGGGGCATGCAAGCTATCTAAGCTACAAAGTCATCAAGGATCTCAAGATATCGAAATACTACAGGTCCAGCAAAAAGACTTCAAGCTTTCTGCTTCTTAGGAACACGATAAGCACCAATGACACAGGCATGGTCTCTCTCGAATGGCTCCAGTGTCACCTGCTCGGCAGGCTTGAACTGCTCCTGTGTCATCTTCTTCACTTCACTCTCAAACACTGCCTCAGCGGGCACTGTGGAGTCAATGCAGTTTGCCTGAATCAACAATGAAAGATTGCATTAATGTCGGTTCGTGTTCATGAGTACTTGCCAGCTATTACTAGCTGGTAGGAAAAGACTCTGAGAGAATCAGGACCAACCTTGATAGAGATGACAAAGTGACCACCGGCCTTCAAGAAGTAAGATGCGTTCAGGGCTAGAATCCTAGCCTGCACAATCAAAATTAAACAGACCATGACACCATAAATCTACAAGGCTTACACGCAAACAAAATACCAGCACCCCACAAGACAGCATAGGCTGGCTAACCCAATAACGAGAGTTTTATAAGGGGTACTATAGACAATTGTAGAAGATTCAATACGAAGTACGCTGAAACAAAATTACATGGTACCAACCAACATTTACAAAAGTTGGGCTATTAGCATAGATGCATAAGCAATGCGAGGCATTGAGTTTGTAAATGGAAAACACAAATCCAGCAGAGAAAAACAAATGTATGGATACACAGTAAAAGGAGTTGCTAATTTTAAACAACAGATTTTGTAAAAGAATGATGAATCCCTTTTCAGCATCAGCAACTCGGACCCTGCATCACTTAAGATGACTGGAAGGGGAATCCGAGTACCTCGTCATATGCAGGATTACAACACTACAGTAGTTGGAAACAAAGAAAACACAGAAACGGATTGCTGAATAGAATAGAGATAACTATTGAAGATTGCATCAGAAACTCGTGTTTTCATCACTCCATAAGTCGTGTAGGGGAATCCGAGTGAAGTCTCTTCATTTGCAAGACAACATAATTCACAGACAAAAAGCCAAAAGAAATACTTTATTTTCAAAGAAAAGTTCGAACCAAGATATGCCAATCTAGAATAACTAACACCAGGCCAGTTTAAGAATAAAACAGCGGCCATAGGATTATCTAAAGGGTCGTCTAAGAGATCTCTCGAATGGTTACCAAATGAGAACTCGTACAGATGTTGAAACAGATAAAAAGAAGGGCAAACCTGATCAGGTTGAGCAACATCAGAAAATATGACATCAACCATGCCTACTAGCATGCGGTACTTGGCTGGATGCCTAGCATCTTCAATGATGGGAATAACATTTGTGCGCTTTTTAGCCATGTTCACCAAATCCCTACCACTTCTATGTGAAAACTCCACTGCATAAACCACTCCAGTCTGCATAAATCCCATCACAGTTCATCAGCAAACTAAACCATAAATGAAAAAGCATACCTCAAACCCGTTCAATAAAAAAAAACTTACGGGGCCAACAAGATCTGACACGTGAGACACAGTAGTTCCTGATGCAGCTCCAAGGTAGAGAACCTTAGCACCTGGTTTCTGCCATCATTAAAGAACACCACCTTAATCGCTACAAGTTCATAAGCAAGACAGACGAATAATTAGATGATCAAATCAAATGGAAGCAGTAAACAGTTGCTTACAATCCAGATATTATCAACACCACCAAGGATTGCAGCTGCCAACTTCGACCTGAAGGGGTTCCAAACCCTGTACTCGACCTTAGTCCCATCTTCATTCTAAGGTAAAACCAAAAATAAAGATCAAACCTTTAGAACAAAAACTAACACTTCAGTCAAATAACTATTAAGTGGGGAGTCGGTGAGGGCGAAGATACTGACCTGCACAGAGACCCTCTTCTCATTGTAGACAGCCTCGCCAGGAACAAGATTCTTTGTAACAAGAGCATCTTCTTTCCCCTTGGCAATAAACACACCTTCGTGTCTATGAGGCTCAACCACAACTTTGCTCCCACCTTTCATTCCGCCACCTCCACGGCCACCGCCACGACCCCTTCCTCCACCACGGCCACCGAAACCGCCGCGACCTCCGCCACGGGGCTTCATCCCACTCCCGCCTCGGTCGCCGAATCTACCGCCGCCGCGGCCGCCGCCTCTTCCTCGGCCGCCGCTATCACCGCCCCTTCCACCTCTGAAACCACCGGATCTTCCTGCATGTTACAAAACGAGAAAAAATCGCTTAATTTCCATCCAATTCAAAACCAGGGGAACACGAACAGAGCTAAGTAAAGAGCTGAACTCCACGATATAGCAATAATCAAGAAGGAGAATATACCTCTTGGAGGTGCCATTGCAGCTCGATTAGAACAGTAAACGAACGAGATTGGGGCTAGGTTTCGTGCGCTCTGTAAATTAGGAGGCGGGCGAGGGTCTTATAGGCTCTAGCGGATGGAAGCTTTAAGGGTTTTAGGGTTTAGAGGTCGCAGGTTGGGGAGTGATGAAGCAAGTTGCTCCGTCCCTGGGTTTTTGACTTGCATTGCATGTCATGGAC